AAATTATGAATATGTCCGTAAAGCATTATTTTCTACAAAGTTTTTTTAGAAACTTTTTCCTCGATTATATCGATCATTTTCTCTCTCTTGGGTGGTGAAAGCGATGATTCAGCAACTAGTGAGCTCTAACAGGTCGAAAAATGAGGTCCAATCCATCTTTTTTTCGGGTATTTAAAGGGACCAAGATCAGCTCTTCTCATCCATTGCTCATAACTCCGTTCACTCCGTTTTCTTGCTCTCCGTTTTCTTTTCTTATTGCATTCTGCTTTTTCTCCATTATTGTCTCCATTTTGGTCTTCAGCAAGGTAAAGGTCGTCGCTTTCCTCTGCCGAAAATCCTGTAGAAATGAAGTCTTTTGAACTTAGATTATTAGTTCTTGCTTGGTTTTCTAAGCGATTCCTGCTTAGCTTCAACACACCAAAGAAGGATGGAACTTTTAAGTTATGGTGGGGAGATTTTAAACATAAATTAATGGCAAAATTACGGTTTTTTATATGAAAAATATAGTCTCTGGAGAGACAGGGAGCTCTTGCTCAGTTGCTCTTGTGGAACGCAGGGTGTATGATTTTGGAAGAAATTTACTAATTGATAAAAAAATTAGCAACTTTTTACTGCACCTTATGTTGATTGCTGAACGAAAAAGAGGTTTGCCTGATTTCAGGAGGTTTTTTGGATTTTCCATTTCCACAGCCTTCTATTTCATTCTGTAAGCACTCTGCGAAGAAAATATTTAGACGTTTTAAACAATAAAATTCCACAGTAGTTTATCTTTCTTGCAGGAGAAGTTGAGTTGGTAGCAAAAAAGTAATTTTTTTAAAATGAAATTTCGTCATCCCAAAAATATCAGCTTTCTAACTTAGTTCTTTTCAGCCAGTTCATATCATGCTGAGGATTTTCTTGTGTGTCATGGCTCAGTAAACTCCGAAAGATCCGTCCTTCCCAGAAAAAAAATTTATTTTTTTGGCAAAAAATATCACGTTTTGATTTCTCCCTCGGTACGTGACCTTTTTTCCCACCTTATCTTTAGTAAAACGTGGCCGGGCACCTATTACTAGGTGGCCGAGACCTCAGTCGTTGTTTTCTGGAACCGGTTTAATTGTTCCTGGCCATCTCTGAATTATAAATTATATTAAAAAAATTATATAAAACAGGATTCTTGCTTAAGATCTACCCAAATTTGTTCGTTTGAGATTAGATCCGGTTAGTCTTCTAGTTTATAAAATATCTGTTTGCTTCACTTGCCATGCACGATGATCTCTGCTGACATGAGGTTTATGAAACTCTTTACTTTGATAGTTCTTATGTAGATGTTCGTGAGCTTTGTTGCCAAGTCAAAGATCTGAACTTTCATAATATTGCTTGAGATTTTTGACAAACTGTTGTTGTACTTTCTATTTTAATATGTAGTTAGTTCTTCTGAATCTGTAAAGGAGGAGGAGAGGAGCCATGTCTGATAATAGATTTTTGGGCCGCGTTCATAGCGTTCGTGAGCGGCTTGGAGACACTCTTTCAGCTCACACAAATGAGTTGCTTGCCCTCTTCTCAAGGTACTGAGTTCTTTTCCCTTTTCTATTCCTGTTTCACTGTTATCATCATCATTAATATTATATTCATGAATTTATCTCATACGCATGAGTCGCCAATGAGTAATAATAGCTTAATCATTTTAAAAAAAACTTTTTTTTTGCTGTCTAAAAACAATTGAATCTGCATGATAAGTTTTAGTTGAAGTAATTTCATGCAGAGAGTTGAATCGTGTAGGTTTGTCAAACAAGGGAAAGGGATGTTACAACCCCACCAGATTTTGGCTGAGTATGATTCAGTGATTCCTGAAGCAGATCGTCAGAAGCTCAAAGATGGTGTCTTAGAAGATGTTCTCAAAGCTGCTCAGGTTCGATCTATGGATGTTCATTTCTGCCCTTTCTCAAGTGTTTTGTGTGAAAGTTTGTCACTTTCTGTTGATTATCCGCATCATTCTTTGCATGTTTTACAGGAGGCCATAATTGTACCTCCATGGGTGGCACTGGCCATCCGACCAAGGCCTGGAGTGTGGGAATATGTGAGGGTTAATGTGAGTGAATTGGCTGTGGAGGAGCTGAGCGTGCCTGAGTACTTACAGTTCAAGGAAGAGCTGGTCGATGGGAGGTTGGTTCTCAAATTTCATGGATCTTTGTCAAGGTTTGTAGATTATAAGTTAAACTAAGTTAGTTCTTTCTTCTTCCAGATCTCAGAGCAACTTTACTCTAGAGCTGGACTTTGAGCCTTTCAATGCTTCTTTCCCTCGCCCCTCGCTTTCAAAATCCATTGGTAATGGTGTGCAGTTTCTGAATCGGCATCTTTCCTCCAAATTGTTCCATGATAAGGAGAGCCTTTATCCTCTGCTTAATTTCCTGAGGCATCACCATTACAATGGAATGGTAAGTTCTCTGTTATGTTAAGTTTTCTCCTAGCCTTGATTATTTCATGTGGAATGGTTAGATTTAGAATAAACACATTTAGCTGAACTTTTTGCACGGTAGTAGATCATGTTAAGACTGCAAAATTACTAGTAATGACCATGTAGCACAAAATCATGTAAACTAAACTAACTTGGGGAAATATAAGGAAGCTGATGTGGGGGGATAATTGTTTGATCCTTGGAAGAAGAGGATGCTTGAAGGATTTATAAGAACAAGAGAATAAACCAAGCACTAAACTTCAATTCATATAATATTCATCAATGTCTCAACTCTTCTTACCTCATACTATATATAATAATTAGGTAGAAAATTAGAGAAAACTAGAAAATTCTAGAATCCTATAAAAAGCTTGTAACAAACTAGATAACATGTCTAAGGAATGATTTAAGCTACAATGCTCCACATCAGAAGCTTTATGTTTGTATCGTATTGATAGATGTAGCGGTGACAACTTGTTGTAGCCGATGACATCAACACACTTAATGGGCAGCCAGTGAAGCTGGATCTTTCTGTAGTTGAGTTGTAAAATTTTAAATTTGACTTGCAGAGTATGATGCTGAATGACAGAATTCAAAGCTTAAGTGCTCTCCAAGCTGCACTAAGGAAGGCTGAGGGTCATCTACTGGCCATCCCACAGGACACCCCTTATTCAGAGCTTAACCATAGGTATTCAGTGGCTATCTTTCATCTATGTTTTATACATTTATGAAGACTGGCGGTAGGCACCATCAAAGATTTTTTTTTCATTGGACCAAAAATTCTCTATATGTAGGTTCCAAGAGCTTGGTTTGGAGAAAGGATGGGGTGATACCGCCGAGCGTGTTCATGAGACCATTCATCTTCTCCTTGATCTTCTTGAGGCACCTGATCCATGCACCTTGGAGAACTTCCTTGGTAGAGTTCCCATGGTGTTTAATGTTGTTATCCTATCTCCTCATGGCTACTTCGCACAAGCTAATGTTTTGGGTTATCCTGACACTGGTGGCCAGGTGATTTTCTCGACAAATTCGCTCGATGTTTCAGCTCATACTTCTATGTGTTTTGATCTTAATGATGGTTTTGATGTGCAGGTTGTCTATATCTTGGATCAAGTTCGGGCGTTGGAGAACGAGATGCTTCTTAGAATAAAGCAACAGGGACTTGATATCACTCCTAGAATTCTCATTGTAAGTCTTGATTGTCTTATCTAAGCCATTGATAGTTGCCTTCTGATATCAGTATATTTGGGAGAAAAGTATTTATTTATGTTGTCTGATGCAGGTGACCAGATTGCTGCCAGATGCAGTAGGAACTACTTGTGGTCAGCACCTTGAGAAGGTTATTGGTACTGAGCACACACACATTCTTCGAGTTCCTTTCCGAACCGAGAAAGGAATTATTCGGAAATGGATATCGCGTTTTGAAGTGTGGCCTTACCTCGAGACTTATGCCGATGTTAGATTCTGATCTCTATATTTCCGTAAACTTAACGCAGTTTGATCTTGTTTTGAAAGTTCACTGATTTGAATGGTTTTTGAGAGTAGGATGTAGCAAACGAGTTGGCTAGAGAGCTTCAGGCGACGCCGGATCTCATAATTGGAAACTATAGTGATGGCAATCTTGTAGCATCTTTGTTGGCACACAAATTAGGAGTTACTCAGGTTTTCAAATACAAAGTTTTCTTTTCTGAAATTATGAATTGTTCATTGTCAACAATTGCTTATATTCTGTTATATTCAGTGTACAATCGCCCATGCTTTGGAAAAAACCAAGTACCCAAATTCTGATATCTATTGGAAGAATTTTGAGGATCAATATCATTTCTCTTGTCAATTCACTGCTGATCTTATTGCCATGAACCATGCTGATTTCATAATCACAAGTACATTCCAAGAGATTGCTGGAAGGTACTAAATTTTTTTTTTTTAAATGGAGTATATTTTAATGGTGAAATCTAGAGAAAGATTATTAATATATTTCATATTTCAGCAAGGTTACTGTTGGTCAATATGAATCTCACACTGCTTTCACTCTTCCCGGGCTCTATCGAGTCGTACATGGCATCGATGTTTTCGATCCGAAGTTCAACATTGTGTCCCCTGGTGCTGACATGTCAATCTACTTCTCATATGCTGAGGAGAGCAAAAGGCTTACAGCCCTTCACCCTGAAATTGAAGAACTAATCTTTAGTGATGTAGAGAACAGCGAGCACAAGTGAGATCCTAATCTTATTCTCTTTTTATAAATTTTTATATTATAACTGAGTCTACCAAATGATTTCAGGTGTGTTTTGAAGGAGAAGAACAAGCCTATCATTTTCTCCATGGCTAGGCTCGATCGAGTGAAGAATATTACTGGCCTCGTTGAGTTCTATGGTAAGAATCCTCGATTGAAGGAGCTTGCTAATCTTGTGGTGGTTGCTGGGGATCATGCCAAGGCATCCAAAGATCTCGAGGAACAAGAGGAAATGAAGAAAATGTACAGGCTTATTGAAGAGTACAAGCTTAACGGTCACATCAGATGGATTTCTGCCCAGATGAACCGAGTCCGCAATGGTGAACTGTATCGCTTCATTGCAGACAAGAAGGGCGTATTTGTTCAGGTATTTTTATATCTTATCTGCATGATTGTAAACTAGAATGCTTGATAATGATTATTTGTCTCTTCCTTGTAGCCTGCGTTCTATGAAGCTTTCGGGCTAACTGTTGTGGAGTCTATGACCTGTGGACTTCCAACGTTTGCCACTGTACATGGAGGTCCAGGGGAGATCATAGTTCATGGCGTTTCTGGTTTCCACATTGATCCTTACCAGGGCGATAAGGCCGCTGAGCTGCTCGTAAACTTCTTTGAGAAGTGCAAGGAGGATTCTGCCCACTGGGAGAAGATCTCCAATGGAGCCATAAAGCGAATCGAGGAGAAGTAAACCTTCAATCAACCCATTAAAAACTATGAATTTCACCATGGCTACTGTGTTGAAGCTCATCAATTCTATTCTCTCTTATGCAGATATACCTGGAAGCTCTACTCAGAGAGATTGATGACTTTATCTGGTGTTTATGGCTTCTGGAAGTATGTTTCTAACCTTGATAGGCGTGAGACAAAGCGTTATCTGGAGATGTTCTACGCACTCAAATACCGTAATCTGGTTGGTATAAATGGTCTTGAATTGATAAGAAAATCTCTGTTGATCTGCTCAACTAATATTTGTGTTTTTCTGCTATGATACTATTGCAGGCACAGTCTGTTCCTTTGCATTCAGATGAAGAGGTGGCTGCCAATGGCACCAAGTAAAGTTCTGGCTATTGTGAGTTTCATTAAAAATTGTAAGGGTGTCTTTGTAAGTGTTTGGTTTATAGGGGATTTAGAGTAAATTTGTTTTTGCTTTGTGTTTTGAGTTCAGTATGTTTACATAAGGCTCAGATGCCATATTTGTAATGAAATTTCGAGGCTTTTCTCCTAATGCAATTTGGTCGTTTTTATGGCACATTTAATCTTATTGAAAATGTTGCGGGATAAAATATTCGTGGTGGTAAAATAAGAAAATATTTTATCTTGGAGTTGCACGAGTATCTAGCTCACAAACAGAAAGAATAGAAATACTATAATTTTTTACGTGGAAAATCCTGAAAGGAAAAAATCACAGTGCTTTGCCCAGTTGAAATGAATCCACTAGTGTTTGAATAGATTATAAATAATTGATTTGTCTTGGAACTTGGGGACAATTAGATTACAATAGTCAACTGTCGGGTTGAAATCTAACGATGAACAGGGATAGGATGGAAGTTTGATGACGGCTAGTGGCTTGGCATAAATTCGGCGTCAGTTGGTGGTCGAGCGAAAGTCTGGGTAAAATCAGATGACAGACAGTGGTCGGATGGTGGTTGAGGAGTCTGGTGGCAAGAGAACGCTGACTTCTTTTCCTTTCCTTTCTTCCTTATCTTCCATGCTTGCTCTTTTAAAGAAAAATGAGGGTTCTATTTATTATTGTTTTTGGATTTGTATGGCCAGCAAATAGAGAGAAGATCAAGGGCATGTTGGAAGTATTTTGAATGGACAACCGATATCAAGAACTATTTATCGAATATTTGAGTGTCATAATGATTTCAGAATTCAACGACTTGAGACTTGTTCGATTTTTCTTGTCGAGACTCTTGATTAAACCATAACCATATTACATTTGGAAATTGCTTGGTCATCTATTTCATGATTTGAACCATTCAAATGTGCTTTGGATTCTTAATTTGGACTCATTTAAGCTCGGATTTGATTGAATTAAGTGTCGTTGGGTTCATCTTTTTGAGACGTTCAGTTCGACTATAAATTTATTGAAATCGGAGTTTGGATGATCCTTGATTTAATTTTGGAAGTTTCTTATTCAAAATTGCCTCGAGATTCGTGCCCTATCACAAAAATTATTTGATGATGTATCATAAAAAAAGTGATTTTTGAGTGCTGAGTTATACTGCATATGAAACCGAAATTTAGGAAGTTATGATTTGGTTTGGAATAACTTTTTTTTTTTCTATTTGTTTTTTAAAAACAAATTTCTAGTGCAAAATTTTTTAATAAATTTTTTTATACTAAAAAATTTTATTTAGATCTTTGAGCTGTAGTATGTGTTGCAGTTCAGATTGGCAGATATAAGCGTAACAATTTAGGTCAAATTTTATCTTGAAAAACCTTTTAGTTACAAGAAGATGTAAAAATTCTAGAGTTGATACTCTATATTCATAGCTAAATTCAGCTTAAATTTTATTGTATTTACAAAGACAACATTCAAAAATTGCAAATATATTTTTTTTTGTTAACAATATAAAATATTGGTACGCATGTAAAGAATTGTCTCAAAAATTTAAAAGGCATGTCTTATATTCTTTTAGGTAAATTTTGCTAAGAAATTATTCAATCCAATCTCTTTCCTTTCAATTACAAAGATGAGCTCTAAACAACTAATAAAACCTACATGCGAATAAATTCTTAGGCATGCAAAAAATTATTAGGGTATTATTTTTTACTATTTTTGGTCGCGTTAGGTGATCGACAACCAGAGTAAAACTTGTCGAATAATAATGACATAAATTCTTTAATACATTATGTTAATGTTAGGACATTTACTAAAAGCGATGAACTTAATAGCTTGAATACAATAAGTATGCAAGGGTCGTTGCACTGACTCCATATTACAATGTTAAATAAGCAAGGGTTCTCGTAATTATGGACGGATGAAGACAAAGAAGCTAACATATGAAACTAGAATTAGGACAGAAATTTGGAATATAAGTTTTTTTATTGACAAATTAATTGAATTAATAAATATTTTGATACATACGAAGATAGATATTTGATGTATTGAGGAAACTAAATGGGTTGAAGAGAATGCTAATAAAAAGTTATTTATTTAATATAATAATTGCTAGACATCACATGGTCTGTGAGAGCCCATTCAGCCCAGGCCCATGTTCGGTGATAGACAGGCCTTTTGTAGGCTTGGGCTAGGCCTGTGAGAGCAGCGGGAAGACATCACAGCCGTTCGATTAGCCCGCGACGGTTCTGGTTGTCACGCTCGACTCCGCCGGACATCTTCCTCTCCCGAAGTCGATGGCGGCGGGTCGCTTCTCGTCCCTTTTCCGCCGTGCCGCTACCGTTCCGTGGAGTAGCATCGCTGGAGAAGCCTTCGATCGCGTCGTCCTCGTGGCCAAGACCGTTTGCTTCGTCCATGTTATCAATAACTACGTTTGCAGCATCGCTCTGGTCATCTCTCTCTCTCTCTCTCTCTCCCCTCCACCTCCCGAATCTATTTGCATGGACTGTCCCTGAACACTAATCCTTTCCAGGTTCGAGGTCCGAGCATGCTGCCGACCATTAACATAACGGGAGATATTGTGGCAGTGGAGCGGATCAGCCCTCGCTGGAGCCTGATTTCCGTGGGTGACATTATACTACTCCGTTCGCCGGAGAACCCAATGAAGACCGTCACGAAGAGGGTGCTTGGCCTTGAGGGCGATACCGTCACATTCCTAGTTGATCCCGCCAAGGGGTTCTCGTCTAAGACTGTTTTGGTAAGTTTTGTTTGTTGATTTCGTTGCTTGACTTTCATTTTATTATATCTTTGTGCTTCTCTGCTTTTTTAATTCAGGCTTTTCTTTTTGCTCGCAATGGGTTCTATTTTTAGGTGCCGAAGGGGCATGTTTGGGTGCAGGGAGATAACATTTATGAATCTAGGGATTCAAGGCAATTTGGACCGGTGCCTTATGGACTGATACAAGGGAGGGCATTTTGTAGGGTGAGATTCTCATTTGAGCCTTTGTTTACCTATTGATCTATTCTTTCTGTAACAGATGTTTGCCTATTTTTGTTGCATGATTTTTTTTTTTTTTCATGCATATCTGATATTTGAAATTAGTTGCTCTTTGCTGGTATGATTCCTTAACACCTCCTACAAAACCTAAAACTTCGGTAGAGAAACTTGTAGATTCACTTTTATGGGTCTTTTTTTGTTGCTATTGTCTATGGATATGAATTGGGAATACACACAACAAGGGAGAATCACAATTCATTCTGACTTTCACTTTTCTTGTCCAGTCTCACACTTATTTACTTTTCAATGTCAAGAAGCAATTGTTCAACTAGCCAAGGGGCATTTTGAGTTCATCTTCCCCTCCCACCACCACCATGCTCTCCCTTTCACTCAGTATGCATATTCATCTTTCAAACCAGTTTTTAGACCTCAGCCTTGTGCTATTCAAAGTTCAAAAAAGTCATTAAGCTTTAAAAAGAAAGGCTCTAACAGCAGGTAGAGTTGATTACCAATAAACGGGTTTGGCATACCAGTGAGAACTACTAAAGGGGCTTGGTGTACCAGTGAGGACTACGTTATTCAGTCTCACTTTCTGCATTATGTATAGAGACTAGGCACATTTAGTAATGCTTTTTATATCTGTTTTCTTGATCAATAGAAACAGTTTAAAGATCCTCACTGATGTTTGTTATGAATTACCCTTCACCTCCTGCACTACCATACTCTTTCTTTAATTCAGTATGCATGTTCATCTTGTAAAACAGTTCTTGGACCTTAGCCTATTGCTACTCCAATCATTATGCTTGAAAAAGTTCCACCATTAAGTATAGTTCATTACCAATGAACGGGTTTGGTATAACAATGAGGACTACTAAATGAGTTTGGCATAACAGTGACAACTGTTGGGGAGAGATGAGGAGTAAAACACCACAATGACGAAACAAGCAAGAAAGTAAAAGCAACGGAAAAATAAAGGACACCAGGATTTAACACAGAAAAATCTAAAATAGGGAAAAAAGCTATGGAACCACACCACACCAAAAAATCCACTATGAAAATTCGGAGAAATAAGTACAGATCTCTATTCTATCTCGCTTTATCCTTGCTTCCTTTCTCACATGCACCGTTCTCAATGTCTAAATGCTCAAAATATAAGAGAAAGCCAAATAAAATAAGCCCAAGGGACGTAACCCTTTAGAAAAACGAGAAAGTAAACCATCCAGTCCGTCTCGCAGCGCTGTCGCACCAGTTTAGGGCGCTACGGCGCTCAAGCCTCTGTCTTGCACCGCTGCAGTGTCGTATCTATACTGCTGCTGCGCTTTACTCTTTGTTGTACAACGTTGGGGTGCTTGTACACAACGTTGGGGCGTTGTATCAGAAAAAAAAAATTTCGTGTGCGAAGCGTATGAACCCAAGCTGGGGTAAACCCCCCGCACCCCCCAGTGAACACGATAAGCTTTGAGGTCCGAGACAATAGAACAATCAGATTGATCAACACAATTAGATTCCACACATAATAAGGACTACTAAATTTATTAGTACTGAAATTAACTCAATGTATTCAGTTTTAGATCTACTCAAACGAAAACCTTTAGATTCTAAAGTTGATTTCCATAATTCAAGTTCCTTCAACTCTCTCTTTTGTTTTATCAACAAGAAGAATATTATCAACAAAAAGAATACACCAGGGTACATCCTATTGTAAATATTTAGTAAGAACATCCAAGATTAAAGTGAAAGATATGGCTTAAAGACGATCCTTGATGTAATCTTCCTAAAATAGGAAAATACTTGGTCAAACTATCTTGTGTTTGAATTGAAGTAACAAGTCCTACTTATATATCTTTAATGACTTGAATATAAGTATGATTAACTCCTTTCTTTTCCAGAACTCTCCAAAGCACTTCTCTTGAAACTTTATCACATGCTTTCTCTAAATCAATAAATAACATATGTAGATCCTCCTTATTCTCTCTATACTTCTCCGTCAAACCTTTCGTTAAATGTATAGCTTCCATAGTAGACCTACCTAGCATAAATCCAAATTAATTTTGAGAAATATTAGTATTACATCGTAACCTATGCTCTCCATAGTTTTAATGTATGACACATAACTTAATTCCTTTATAATTTGCAAGCTCTTGTAGTCTTGTGCATCAACTTTCTTGTTAAAAATAGGGATCAATACACTCCTTCTCCAATCATCTAACATTTTTTTAGTCTTCAAAATAATATTGAAAATGTTGTAAGGTGTTTTTGAAATTATTGCTATGCTATTCTCTGCACATGGCTGGAACATGGTTTGTAATTTATTCGTTTTTTTAATTAAGAAAATCTTGATTTGGCAGTGTTAAATTTAAGAAGAGTATATCTCTATGCATGTTCTTTCATTTAACTACTTCAAAAGAATTAATGAAATGTAGGATTATGCACAAATCCAATACTCTGTGCAGCATGTTTCCTTTCAAAAATTTCTACCTGGGCTAGCAAACTGTTAGACCGGTCCACTGGACCGGTTCAGGCGGGACCGGCTCATACGCGAACAGGGCGGAAAACTTCCGCCCGCGGGGATGCCGAGCGAGCCGCACGGTGTGCGGGAGCCAAATAGGAAAGAAATTTTGGGGAGTTAAGAGGGAAATTTGAATGTAGGGATTGTTTAGGGAATTCCTTTTGATTTGTATGCATTAAATAGTTGATTTGGCTAGGGTTTGAGTATCTTGAATTTGGCTGAAATTTGAGATCTCTTAGATTTAGGATTTCTTTGGGCTCTAACGGCGTCTAGAGATTTGGGAGAGATCGATCCTCCTCTCGAATTGAGGATCAATTGTATCTTGCTCTTTCATTCATCGTCTAAGTGGAATACAACTCTTTTCTTGAGTTTTCTCTCGTATTTTCCCGGACAAGTGCTGTTTTGCTGCTGTAAACAGCAGACATCTGCTGTTTTCCTGCTGTGGACAGCCATTTGGCTGCTGTTGGTTCGCCGATTTTGGATAGGTTGCTTGTGAATACAAGCACTTCTTATCACAAACCTAGCCCGTCATTCTACTCTTGGCTTTTTTTGTGGGGCAAAGTGAACTCTTTTGACACTTCAAAGGTTAAAGTCCCTTCATCAACACTTCTAACTTCCATGGCATAAGCATGGATGATGCCAATCTACCACCAGTGCACTCTACACATATATAACATTCAATATCAAGTGTTGTTATAGGGGCTCTAAATTTTGAATCTTCAAGTAGATTTGCTCTGTTTTGGATACAAACTGAGGTATGGCTCTTTCTCCCTGGCTCACTTGATCTTAGTATTTGTTCATGCCATATTAATTTTTATATATGCTTGTCAAACACTAATACATTCCACAAATCCCCGTCATGTCCACCTAGCTTTAGATGCATTAAAAAGTTAAAGTATTCCGTGAATGTATTAGAATTTGTGATGACCAGAAATAAAATGCTACTTCTGCCATGTCATTTAATTTTAGTTTGCTACTTAGCCTTTGAATTTTGTTCATGTTTGTTGCACTAGGAATTTTTTTTTTTTCATTGAGTTGAAATGGTTATTAACATTTGGCATGTACGGATTTTGGGATATCCTTATTTGTGGGATAGGTATATAATCTTCTATAGAAGAAAACTAAAGTTTATGCTTGTAAAAGGAGGAAAAGTTATAGAGTGAATTGATCTTTTGTTCTATCTTCTTAAGAGACGGGGAAGACTAGCAAATCAGAAGGTCCTAAAAGATCGTTAAGAGCTTTGTTCCTAACGATAAGCACAAAAAGTGCCATCCTACTTGTTGATATTCTGTCTAGGATGATTAAGCTCACAAGAAAATCAAAAGCCGGAGGCTACTAGGAAGAAAAGAAAGAACAAGGCCATGAGGCAGAAGAAGAAAATATCTTTAACGCTTTTGACACATTTTCTTCTCAATTCCCTCAAAATTAGTTCACATGATTCTTGATATATTATCTTAAGCTCAACCACATGAAAATGTACACACACACACACACACACACACACATATATATATATATATATATATATATATATTGTTTACATTTATTTGTTAATTTTTCATAGCTTTTCATTCATTATCATCCCTCATAACTTCATTATTTGTCTGATTAATTAGCCTTACCTTTATTTTGAAGTGATAACAGTTGATCTTTGTTGAGATGAGACTTAAAAAAAGTTGCACTTTGAAAGTGAAAAGGATTTAAATTTCTAAGATCAATAGCTGCTCTTATATATTAGCTTAAGATTTTGGTTGATGGGTATCCATCCACTATAATATTAGATTGATTGTAGTTATAACATTCCACCATCTTAATAAGTGATACCAGAACCAATGATTAGACTGATATTAATGTGCAATATGTTCCACTATTATATTAGATTGATTGTAGTTGTAACATTCCACCATCTTAATAAGTGGTATCAGAACCCATTTTATTGTCCCATGGTTTTCACTAACTTTTGAGGTGGGATCTATAAAAGGTTCCTTGGTTTGAAATTTGTGGTTACTACATTAAGAAATGGGCTTATTTGCAGGCAAAATATAACACAAATTTCAAAACAGCCCTTACCTTATCCTATACTAACTACACAAATTAGGAATATTTTTTCTCGAACTCCGCAATTTAGGAATAATTTTATCCTTTCCTAACTCCAAAAAAAAAAAATTCAAATTTAAATTAAAAATATGTATGTATCAAAAACATAAAAATTCAAAATCCATCTTAATCATGTTGTCATTTAAATCACTATTCGATGGTCTAGATTGTTTGCCACTCGGAACTTGATCACTAATTGAGCATTTGTCGACCCACCTCATTTATGGACTTATGTTGATTTGATTTTAAATCTCAACGGTATGATCTGAGAATCAACATTATTAATAGTGTCCATTAATAATTCAAAATTTCAAAATTTTAATAATGATGATTCATTTGATCTCTTCATCATCTGATCCCAAATCATAATCATGGATGA